ATTCAAAGTACCTGAAATAATCTTGATACGAAGAGAAAATTCTGACATGAAGACTCTATGTGGGTCGCACAATGGATACGAATAAACACCAATTAATTGATTGACTATGACAACACTTTATTCCGAATCACATTAAAGAAAATTGAATCCAAATTCCTGAAAGGAAGAGCATCTTACAAAGCTTGTTTTTACATAGTACCACGAACGCAGACGGTCGAAAATTAGAAATAAGAAAAGCTTAACATTACTACTACTATTGCTGCAGTTTGCCTTGATGACAGCTTCAGAACTTCACTTTTCATTAACGCAAACTTGATGATAAACGGACTGGCATGTTAAATACTGTGTTAAAAATTATCGGTGGCTGCTTGATCTGAATAACTTTTTTTTTAAAAAAAACAAAAGAAGTTCTCACGGTGCACTCAGCCTGCTTCCTTTACTCCAACTGGACTAACTTTTTCCATAACACGGACATGAACTTCAATTGACTTTCCTCTGGACAGAAATATTATGAAAAAGACGAACTGCGTCTTTAATCAATCAAATCAAGCAAAAAACCTGAATAAATAATTAGCTTAAAGAGACGTACACTCTCTTCCAACTACCGCCAACCATCATCGGAAAAATATGGGACTGATGTCAAACTCAAAGTTTATTAAGAGTGCACCTAACGGATGTAACCTCGACTTAATCGGCGATTGTTATCTGTAACCTATTCAAGTAATTACGGTTAATTATACGTATCTTAATAGTCGGAATGAAATCTCGCAACTAGGTAATCCAGCAATGACCTTTTGTTCCTTGGAATGTGAGGTCAAGCGGTGCAAACGGTTATCAGGTTGATATTTTCCTTCAACTGTACGACATTTCCGGTTTGAATCCTGGATTTTCGTATACCATCAGAAAACTAAAAGCAATTAATCGGTAATTAAAGGACCTAACACCTTAAAAGATTGATTCTCTCTCTTCTTTCCAGGCAAGAGAGCGTTCGGCGGCTGTAGAAACAATTTAAATATTCCTACAGGAACGGTTGAAAATCGGCGGCAAGACAAACAATTAAACAAAACGAAAAGATACAAATCAGAAACGACAACAGATACCGGGTGTTCAGAAAAGCTGGTCGACTCCATAAGTATACGGTGTGGTCATGAGAGCTCGGTACTGCTCGAGAGCGTTTCGCTCGAAAAGGTGCTCCAAGCGGAAAGAGCGCTTGCAAGCTCCCGGGCGCTTTTTCCGCTCACGAGCACTTTTCCCGAGCGCTCACTATAAACCGCTCGAGGCCTGGGCTCGAGCACTTTTAGAAATGCCCGGAAATCGCAAGCGGTTTCGCTTTGTAAAACAGCTCGATGCTCGCGAGCATTTTTGAGACAATTCGAGCGCTCGTCTCTCGACCGGTTTTTTAGAACGCTCGACCCAGCTCTGATGGTCATAACTTCGGGTATGAACTTCAAGGCGGTTACAAATGACTAGGTAGCTGCGAAGTCCCGTCTTCTTTCTCTCGCGACGCGCCTTATTTTTTCTGCACCAGATGTGTATTTTCGTTGAAATTAAGTAACTTTCACCTGATACCAGAAGTTCTTATCGCAAATGACCATTACAAATAATTCTAAAAGGAAAAATGAGACTACAGTAATACAAACTCAAATGGAATAAACTAACTTTCTTTTTTCCAAAGTTCCAAATAATCTTACTTTACTAATCTTACATATACAGAGTATTCTGGTATTATGTTTGGTGTTTAAACCGAAATATCATCTACATGACGTTGTTTACACAACAATACCCTATAAACCCTTATACATATACAGTGTGATTGACTTTGCGTGTCCGAGCGTATATTTCTTTTATTATTGGAGATAGGAAAAAAGTGTAAGAAGCAAACATACTCTACTTTCAGTTTCTGATAAAGCTACACATTAAAAAAAAACAAGTGATATAAAAAATCAGAATCAGAAAACAAATTATTTTTTTTAAATAGAACGAGTACTTTTTTCTGTAATATTCTTAAAGGACTTGAAATTATCTTTACAATGATATCAAATATGTTATAATTACCTTAGAAATTAAAGCTACAGTAATGTGTTTAGAACCAATCGCAGTAGCTGTGAAAATTTAAACAAAAACATAGAATTTACAACAAGAAGCGAAGAAAACAAATGAAAAACAGTTACAGGAATAAGTATTGTACCTTAAGACAAAGTTAAACACATTACACTTGCTTTCAATGTATTATCATTACACATTACATTACACAACAATTATCATTATTTGTGTAATTATTATTGTGTTGCATTGTGGTTCTTATACAGGGTGTCAATTTTAAAACATGCAGTCGGCCATATTTTTCAAACTAAAAAAGATATTGAAAATCGCGCAAAACCGATTCGGGGGTATCGAAGGGGAACCAGAATGACGTTATAAGTGACAACCCCCCACTCCCCTTAACCCTCCCAGCTCCCGCCTCTTCAAAAATCCTAAATGGCAACCCCATACTTGTGACACACCGTTGGAAAGCTTCTGAAAAATGCTTTCCAGTGGTACCAATAAAGTCAATATTCATTTAGACAATTAAGAAACGGGATCTGTTAGCAATAAAAAAAGAAAGCAACCAAGATTGCCTAATGAAGCAGCTCAGGTTGATGTTCTTGGCCAATTTGCCATAAATCCCCCAATGTCAACATTAATGTTTTTTGTAATTATTAAATTTTTGTTAAATTGTCTTAATGAATATTGACTGTATTGGTACCACTGGAAAGCATTTTTCAGTAGCTTTCCAACGATGCGTTACAAGTATGGGGTTGCCATTTAGGATGTTTGAAGAGGGGGGGGGGCTGGGGGGTTAAGGGGAGTGGGGAGTTGTCACTCATAACGTCATTCTGGTTCCCCCTCGATACCCCTGAAACGGTTTTGCGCGATTTTCAATATCATCTTTAGTTTGGATCATATGGCCGACTGCAAGTTTTAAAATTGACACCCCGTATATTGTTCTCTAAACTGATTTTGTGGCAGACATGACAAGTGGCAAACTTTCTTTTGTTTTTGTTTAAATTTCCACAGTTACTGCGATTGGTTTTAACACATTATTGCAGCTTTAATTTCTAAGATAATTATAACATACTTGATATTATCATTGTAAAGAGCATTTCAAACTCTTTAAAAATATTACAAAAAAAGTAACTGTTCTATTTCAAAAATTAATGTTTTCTGATCCTTTTTTGTTTTTATACCACTTGTCTTTTTCGAATATGTAGTCTTATCACAAAAGTAGAGTAGTTTTAGTACACTTTCATTTTCAAAAAATAAAAAGGGGCACTTTTGCGCTCTTGATGTCTGTCAGTCTGTCTGAGTCACAAAGGCTCCGAAACTACACCACTTACAAACTTGGTATTGGTGTCATTCGATCAGAAATTAAAATTTATTTCATGTTTGTATTCTCGTTAAGGCATGAAATGTCCATAAGAGCTATTAAAACCAAATTTAAAAGTGCCTCTTCGCCTCTTGCTCACAAGCGGCTTAACGAATTTCTTCTGACACTATTTACCACATTTCCATCTGTTGAACCGCTACAAAGGGACATATGGACGGACAAATACATTCTTCTTCGCTGGAAGACTAATAAAAATGTGCCAATATATAACTTCTGGAAGGTAGGAAATATTCTGATTGTTTCGATCACATGTGCGTGGTACTTTGTTTATAGGCCCTTCTTTGTGTTTAATCGAGCCGAAATTACGACCCATCAGGGTATAGGAGTTTTCAAGATAAATTTTTCTATTCGTATCCAGGATTATGGACCCGTCACAACTCTTACCAGTCTTCGATTACAAAAGTACTCACGATGACTGTAATTGAACTTGTCTAAAGTGGTACCAAATCAAAGAACAAATTTTACATATCTATTATCTAGTTTTTGGTAATTTTTGGCTTTAATTAACTTTACTGCATATTAATTACACAACCATACTTTTGTATATTTGTTACAATTAATATAATCAGTTCTAATTGCACGATATGCTCCTAATAATAATTTACATTTCATTACCCCAAGGTCTAAACTACCGGGGTACTTGAGATGGATGAATTAAATATTTACTGATGTCACTACGCTATACCATTTTTGGTGCCGTCATGTGTGCCAAATGTTTGCCGTTTTTGAGGTTGCATTGTATGTACACAAGAGCCTTAACGCTGCATGGTGCCGTTTCTAGGTCAAGTCAGTGTCATCACCTCTTCCAAAATCTGAAACCCAATTTTTTATTACACATAATTGCGTAACATCTAATTTAAGTAAACTGTAATGATGGGTATACCTAATCACCCATTAAAAATAATTGGAGTTGCTTCAGCGCTTAATTTAGAGCACGTTCGCTTGGTGAACGTATTCACAGAGTTACGATATTGGCATATACCGAAAGAAAGAAGAAACTTAACTCGCTTTGAATAAAAGTTAAGTGAAGGGTTGTCGGTATATGGAACCTTTCTCCAAATAAAGACTGTCATTGTAAATCAAATTATTTATATAAACACAATGTGCCATCAACACATTCGAAAGTAATACAATGAAGACTTCAATATGATCAATTGTCAAATATGCAGTCACGTCTTTGTTACAGGCTTCTAAAGTGGGTGACCTAACAATACAACCATAACTTTTTTGCTATTTCATATTTGCAATTGGATTTATCCTTCAATAGGATGTAATAAAAACGTGCCCGATTAAGTAACGTAATAACGGTCCAGTTTCAATCAAGTAGTTTATATCTGTTGGGTGAATCATACCGCTACCGTGCAATTAAACCTGCTTCCTGCAATTTAATAGGTGCATAAAATTGGCGATTTTTAAGGCTGTTATGCGTTGTATTAGGCACATCCAAATTAATACGAAATCGCCATCTTCGTGGTTTCCGGTAACACAAAATACCTACCTAATGCGCCTCAAAAAAATAAATTAGAACAAACCCAATCTTCACGGCACCCGGAACCACCCTCGGTAATCTCACCAACAAAAGTGTGAAGTTCGATTAAAAGGCTTTTCTTTATTGGGTTTTAGCACTTTATCGACCAATGCGTTTGGTGTGGTGATGTGGGCGAGATGGAGGATCTTGATGGCGGGTCTGGTGATCCTCGATCTGGCGGTGGCGGTTCCCGGTGTGGCCTCCCTACGATTGGGTGCTGGTCATAGGTCATGAAGTCGCCGGATGAAGTATGCGTTTGTACCTGAATTCGATTTTCGCTGGAATTCTCCCGTTGCGAAATCTCAGGATATCTCCATTACTTTGTTCCCTGCTTGGAACTGCGCCCTGGTTGGTCAGAAGTGCGCGTACCTGGATCGGTTGCGGTGGACTGTACTTGAGTCCCATTCTTTTGGAATGGGGAAGTCATATTCTAGCAGAGCGTTCCACCAAAGGAGCGCCTATGGTGCTGCAATCGCTGTAGCACTAGATGCAGATGTTGGAGATGTTCTTCCCAGGTATGCGAGTACACAATGATGTCGTCTAGGTAGACCATTGCGAATTTCTGTAGATACCCTGGGACGACTTCTTGTGTCATCAGTTTTTGAAATGTTCTAGTGCGTTCTTCAGACCAAAGCGCATCACTTTGAATTAGAGGCTCCGTCGGGTGTTGTGAAAGCGGTTAAAGGCTTGGACGCATCATCCAGTGGTACTCCAGGATTGAGAAGATCTTCGCAGTCCCCAAGTCCCATAAGGTCCCGTGGATAACGGGTAGGTTTGAGCGGTAGTTCACACAGCATCGTGGTTTTCCGTCCTTTTTTTTTCACAATGACTACCGGTGAGCAGTAGTCGGACGTACACACTGGGCTCTATGAGTCATGCGGCCAGCATGGTCTCTACTTCTTCCGTAATGGCTCTCTTCTTGAGTAACGATACGGTGGTAGACGGAAAGGCGTCTCTTGCTTCAGCGTGATCTTATGTGTGGTGGATGCGGTGGTGGTTGCGGAGGCGTATCCTGTAAACATTGTCTCCGCGCGAATTTGGCCCAACCATGTTTGACCTCGGGGGTGGCGATCCCTGACCGTTAGGGGGTAGGTTGGTGGCGCGGTTCCAGTGGGTCTTCTGTCTGCTTTCCGTACCCCAATGTACGCATCCACGCTGGTAATCAATTACGGCTTTCTGGTAGCGTAACCAAGCTTGCCCGAGAATCACTGGCGCGACAAACGACGGTGTCACCAGGAAGAAGTCCTGATGACTTCCACTTAGTACTGGAGAGTTGTGGTTCCGGCTATCTGCAGGGGGTGGCTGGGATGGGCTAACATGACTGCATCCTCCGTGTACTTCTGGATCTTGTGGATCCGTCTGTTCGCTACCGTTGTCAAATTGGCAAAAGCTTGCTAGCTATATAAACGAAAGTGGATTGTGAGCGTAAAGCAGAAATGAGGCCACGGGATAAACACTACGAGAGGATAAATACAGAAATTTCCAGTACCAAGAGAGTTGTTGCTCGCCGTCTTTTCACGGAGCAACATCTGTGCCAGTCGCGCCCGCAAATCATAAGCGCGTTTTCTTGTAATAGAGAATTGAGGCGACTTTTTTAAGAAAATCAAGAGAAAGAACCAAGCGAAAACATCTCCATCCCGCCACTACATCGAAAGCGAAGACGATCCTTCACGACACTCCGGAGAAAGTCTGGAGGATTGCGATTTCCGAAGAACAGTTCCATTTTCTGTTCTATACGCGGTCCGTGCACAGTCTACTTGGAGGGTGTCGAACCGAAACTCGAATAGCTGCTCGCAGTGGGCGGTCCTGAATTCATTTGATTTCAACATCGATCGGAGCGAGATCAAGACTGCACTCCGAATCCTAGTGCACATTAACAATAGACGTTCAAGGTCTAACAATAGAGGTTCAAGGTCTTTGTTGTTCGCCGCTTCGTACACAATTGCAGTTTCGTTTGAATTTGTGTTATTGTAAAGGCGATTTAATCAACTACTAGAGTTGCATTTTGCTTGTGAGCACTGTTTGTTTTCATTTTAACGACTCGTGCCTGGAGACGTTATTACACGCATCTACTGCAGTTTGTTTTGATTTTCGATCTAATTGTATACTAATTTATGTAACAAGAATTAAGTTTCTTTCTGTACTCGGCGGCGCGGCGGCGACTAACGTAATAAAGATGGATGTTCCTTTCTATGCAGTGAGTTTTTTTGAATGAATGAGTAAACCCTACATTTACAACTTTTACAGGAACGTACCGTCTCAACCCCCATTTCATGTGTCGTATGTTATTTACAGCAAAAAGGCGATTATCTAATAGAAAAAGAACGTAATAGGTTTTAATAAATACTATTGATTTTTTATTCATTTATCCTTTCCAATTTCCTAGAGGCCAGAAAAAGACCATCGATTGAAGCTAGCCGGCGCCCAACGACAGTTATTTTATGTAACCCCTAAATGAAATGATTTCAGAAGAAACGGTAGTAAGAGTTGAAAAGTAACCAGCCGGTTACATCGCGTCGGATGAAGTTATGTGTCGAGTAGGGCGGCCAGTTCTTTGTTGTTGATCCTCACCGTTATAATCGGAAGGCCTCCATTGTTTGCGGTTTGAATTAATTGAATGGCTGGATGTTCGGTCTGGCCAATGATCCGTTTCCCTGGTCCAGTTGTCGGTTAGCTAGGACAGGACAGTCACGTTGGAAATAATACTGCGGGCTGTAGCGACATTTAGGTACGTTCGCTGAGCGTTGTGGGGTGGTGGTGGTTTCGGTGACGGCTGCGGCTGGTCGACTGCGGCCCCTTACGTCCTCTCCGATCTCGATGGCCATGCGTATGTCCGGATGTATCAGATCGCGGGTTAAGGGTAGGTGGTCGTGCGTCGAGGTGTTGAGCTTCCTTGCGATGCAGGAAGGTGTTGCACGATTCCGTCCTCTGTTCCCGGGTGAAAGATTTCGCGTGCTACTTACCGGTTTATCTGCGATCGGGCTGTATTGGGTACCTACTCCACGGACACAGCTGAACCACCATAATACAATAATAATAATACAAAAACTGTGAAGTATAAATATTAACAAATTGTGACATGAAAGTCCATGATTAATAGTTAGTGCAAGAAAGGATAAAAACAAACAAAATAACAATAAGAAAAAACCCGGAATCGCATGGTGCCCTCCATCGACCTCATCCCTTCTTCTTCGTTAACGCACGTTAACTTTTTTCTCCTAGCTTCGTTATGAAAATCCCCTAGTCTTAGGCATCTGCGCAAATCTGGTTAAATACAGAGCAAGTCGTATTTTTGTTTCAGATTACATGCCTAACCATGCTCGAGAGTCCTGCAACTAGAAATACTGGCTGTTCTGTTTTGTTGATCCTAAGGCGTGACAAAAAATGCATGAAAAATCCTGGGGGCGGTTTTTATTGGAATTGAAGAAAGTCATAAAACAAACAAAAAATGAAGAAAAATCGAAAATCGAATGTGGGTGTGAGGTGCTCAGACCCGAACCGTAGAACCGGCCGGTGGCCCTCTACCAGGGGGTCGAATGAGGTGTGTGCACGTCCGACCTTGTCACATTCGCACTAGGCTATTGTGGCGCTCCAATCGGCACACACCTCTTCAAAGGGTCATCGGGGAGCCGGTCTAACAACAGAACGCAGGGTAACCAGGGAGTCTAGTGCAGGATCTCGATCCTTGTAGCTTTCATTAATCGGGCGGAGAATTTAGAGGGTAAACCGCCCTCCCCCCTCCCTCCCCGTATCAGGCGGATGTGTAGTAGGAGCACCCATGCTGCTCCTCTGAGGGTGAACTCGTACCTTAGACAGGAGAAACCTCGACAACACTAGTTGGCCGTTGGGCAGAGGTGAGGGGATCAATGTTATTCCACATGCGCGCATAATTTCTGCAGAGCGGGGGATAGGTAGAAACCCTTTCCATCCCAGCCTTGACAAGTCGCCGTTGGCGCGCCATGTTCGAAGCGATGGCAAGGTTGGCAACTGGTCCGTTACCCGTACATGGATTCGTAATAGCTCACAAGTCTTGCGCTTCCATCGGGGTCAGTCCCGCCTTTTTCAAACTTTCTCTGGACGCGAAAACAAACGTGACTTAACGCGCATTCTCTACCCGGTTTAATCTTAATTGCTCTACAATTCTCTGCCAACGATTAAATTCCCACCACATTCTTTAACTTCGCCCATCTGAGATTCGAATTTATTCCACTAATCGACTAACTTCTTCTCAACTATTGAAATCCCTAGAAACATAGATAACAGATATTATAAAACCCACCTTGACTCAAAATTCCATCGAATCACTTATAACAAGCGGATCTGGCATCAGCGGGATCGTCGCTCAGTTCCGTCCCACAACTTTCCGGCGCTTTAAGGTTTCATACGCATTTTACTCGACAGGACTACTCAAAAGCGATTCACCCAAAATAAAAATCTAAAACAAATTTAGGAAATTTAAATTATTACGCCACGTTCCATTTTGTCCGTTGTACGTATTTTATAGGCACAAAGATAGTTCTTGTCACTTTCATGAACAAACTGTAAGGTAGGTATCTTACATAATCTAAAAACATCCTAGAAAAACCAGTCCAAAGCCATATTTAAAAAAATTGATTAAACATCAAAATATGTGGAATAATTTTACACGGCTTAATTTTCATGTCCCTATCTCAAACGGTTTGAGCGGTAGAGCATTTGGTCCATCTTTAATAGCGACCCTTTATATGAAGTTTTTGGATGCACTGCTTTTGAGTTACAACTTACAAGAGGAGCCAAAGAAGCAGATCTTCCGTAAGTGAACGGAATTGGCGAAGAATTTATGTAACAAACAGTTACTAAGGCAAGAAAATTTTCTAACTTTTCGCTCTCTCGGAAGATTAAAATTTTGATTTGTAATGGTTCCGGATCGCGAAAAACTCTCTTTTTATCTGCTTCCATCTACTGTGACCTCGCCGCCGGCGTGTTCTAGTTTGATCTCAACACGTAACACGCGTTATTACATCTTTATCCTTTAATTGGTTTGGTTTTATAAATTATTAATGAGATTAATTATTAGAAGATCTGTTATAATGCACATGAAGATTTAAATGTGTTGCGGGCCCTACCAACTAATAGTAGGTATCTTGTAAAAAACTCTCTTTTGTCGATTAAAAAACATTACTTAGGAATTATGTACAAAGTATTAAGTACAAGGTAATACTGTATACCTATCTGTGTTTATATTATAGTATTTAATTAACGTGAGTACTGTTCGGTAGGGGAAATAATTTTATACACTTTCCGCTAACAGTTCTCTTAATTCTGTATTTCAATTTACTTGATTATAATTTAAATGACTTTTAGCCGGAAGTAAAATATGTAAACGGATATTTAATTACAAGTTGTGTCTGGATTTGAACATCTTTGGCGTTTTGTCCACATATAGTTTCCGAGACGAAAAAGATGTGCGTCCCAGCTATTTGTACACTTTCATCTGGGCGAAAAACTAAAATGGAAAGTGAAATGAGTATTTTCGATGAAATCTCATTAGCCGCTTTGTTGTTCGCCGATCTGACTTCAGCAGAGCGGATATCCTCATTTTTTTTACGTTTTCCGTCGATGTTCTGATTGATAACATTCAAATTGAACGAACGAAATGCGGGTATGCACATTAAAACTACTACTCATTCTTGCAATTTCGAAGTGTCTGAGACTGTGGGAAAAAAGATGCAATCGAGACTCAATTTCAATTAAAACCTAAAAAATGAACCATCCACTTTCTTTCTACATGCTATAATCTTTTAAGTAGAGAGGCAAAAAATAGTGTTTGATTTAAGTTTGATGTGTTTAAGAAGGAGGAGAGGTAATGATCTGTATTCATCGTCATCCCATTTCACTTTCTGTTCAGATTCAAAACCATTTTTAATTGGGCGCTTTTACAAAAGTTTGGAAATATCTTTTTATGGCCCGGGGAATTAGTGCCATTGAGAGAAAGCACTTGTGATCTAAACAGTGTGCGTTAGTACATCAATAGTGTAAGTACCAAAGTGTACTTGATGCATTAAGAGAAGCACTCCTGCCGATAGGAGGCGGTAGAATAGAATATGACCTAAATTTTAAGCATGCAAATAAGTCTTTCACGACATGGCATGGTTTAGGTTTAGGTACGTATTTACATACCTACTTACTTCACAATGAAAGGGTGATCTAAAATGCACACTTTGAGATAGAAGAAATTAATGTTAAATAAGATTTGCATGCTTTTTGATTGTCTAGTATCGCCACTATTACAGAGATGTCGCTTTTAACAAACACTTTTTACAGTGACTTTGTGTAGGGACAGTGGCGACAATGGAGTGTCTAATTTTTGATTGGTTGTTCAGATCGACCGCCATGTTGCATCGAGTATATACAGTGATATTCATGTAGAAGTAGACATAGGGATTTCCTATAGGAATTTCCTATGTCTACTTTTACATGATAAACAGTCTCCAGACGCCTAATTTTATGCAACCAAAGTAACTCTACAACAAATGAGGATCTGCCTGTCATATTAATTAGTTTAAATATTATCGCTTTGACTTCCCTATTCTAATTTCGGTTCGTGTGCGATGTATTCAACTAAAGAAAAAGTATAGTATAGTATAGTGCCGATAACAGTTAAAGGAGCTTAAGAGATTTATTTTCTGTGAAGCTAAAGTAACAATATTCAAATTAATAATTAATATGACAGCCAGATTTTTATTTGTTTCAAGAAGTTATTTTGGTTGCGTAAAATTATGCGCCTTTCAGGAGACTTTTTATCATGTAAAAGTAGACATAGGAAATTCCTATAGAAAATCCCTATGTCTACTTCTACATGAATATCACTGTATAATATTGTATTGTAGTGTACGCAACACGTCATACGTGTATTGTGTGTGGCCTACTTCTAATTTGAATTTTTGTTCCAACGTGGCGGTTGGGCTCCCATTGTCGCCACTGTGTCTATAAAGTCAGTGTAACACTTTACAAATCGGGAATTAGTAATACATATTTCTGCCTGGATACGTCAAATTATCAGTACATGAACGGCACAAAACTCGAGACTGAGTTTGTCAGCAAAACATACCTTCACAACTCTTTGCCGGCACGAAATGCAGGACTAGGCGCATTGTTTTGTGCCGTATTTGTGCCGAAATGTGACGTAATCAGTTTGTCAGACAACGATGCCGTTTTCGAATTATCGCATTTTTTAGACGTACTTCTAACTTCACAAATTTTTGATGGCACAAAATGCTAGACTAGACTAGGCTCACTTGTTTGTGCCGGATTTATTCCGAAATGTGCCACATTCAGTTTGTCAGTAAAACATACTGTTTTAAATTATCGAATTTATTTAACATAACCGCTAACTTCGCAATTTATTGTCAGAACAGATGTTCGAATTGCGTAATATGCGATATGTTTGTCTTTACTAGCAGCATCTGTGGTTAAAATTTTAAACTAAAAGCATCTATGGTTAAAATGTCAAAGAAATATCTTCATAAATAAAGAAATTGACACTGCGCAGAATGCGACTGCGCATGCACACATCTAATGTTTACAATATGAGATACGTTTGCTTTTAAAAGAAGCATCTGCAATTAAAATTGTAAAAAAGTTATCTCGATAAATAAGACGCGAATGCGCACATTTACCTGAGGTTCACAATATGCGATATGTTTGCCTTTACTAGAAGTATATGTAGTTACAATTTCAACAAAATATATTAATAAATAAGAAAGTTAATATTGCTTCGGATGCGTACGTTAATCGTCAATATTTTTCTTGGTTGAGGTGCTAGAGCTATAATCTACCGAATTCAAAATGAACGAACTATATATATTGAAAAATGGAGGAGTATATAGTTAAGGCCTCTGACGCACATTAACTATTACTCTCTATTCAATTATTAATACCTAAATGTTAAAATAATAGCGTTTATTTTTAAAACTCAGTGTGTTGTTCCGCCACGGCAATATGCGCTCTTACATGCATGCATACCTTTTGTACATTTATAACTATGCCATTGCGCGCCCCCTTTCCGCAATTGGATAAAGCAATGTATCCCCTCTACTTGTTTCCAGACACTTCGTCAGCTTTCTATGTTTGTTAGTTTATTTCTATGTTGTTTTTGTTTATTCCGTAGTCTCCTTGATCCGTATTCGATGGCATTGCTATCATTAAATAATGAGTCATTAATTATATCGATTGAGATCAATTCAATTGATCTTCAGTGATTTGATGCTGGATTATGAGATTTATTGCGATTTGGATCCTAATCGAAAAATTATTTTAATTTTTGAGATTAGACATTGGATTTTGGTTCATAAACCCTCCGAATCAACATGGTATGCGATAGATTATAACGTAATTAATTTGATTGGTGGTCGGTACATTTCATCCCCTCCCAAGATATTTCAGATGCTGGACCAAATTATGACAAATAGCAAAATCAAAACAATAACTCCTAGATAGATAGATAGATACTTTTATTTCCACGTTCATCATTGTATACACAAAAACAGACAAAAAATAACATGTTCTAAAAAAAAAAATAATAATAAACCTGTGCAAATTTAATCATAGATTCGAATCGGTAAGATGATGATTTTTATAAATAGACCAAACAATATGTCAATTAGCAAAATCAAAACAATAGCCACAGGTACAATAGATTTTAATGGAGATGTGATCAATGTTATGAGGATCTCATTAAGATAAAGGTTGAGGGGATAAATTCTATTTATTTCTACTTCTGTAAGTGCTTTAATTTGCAGTGTCGTTTAGCCGTCGGTTAGGAAAACAAGATCCAATTGTTCAAGTTTCAGATATTTTAATTATTCTTGCAGCCCCAGAAAGTTCTCGCGCTTTGGAAGACGAGAAAAATTGAATATTGTACGATTTCAGTTCCCATCATTAATAACCGATTTTAATTTCCAAATGTTAAGTGAAAACGAGTATGAAAGCTTGCAAAGCCACCGTAGTACGATAGACAAGCAGACCTAAGCCTGACTCAAGAATTTCAACGAACAATGGATGTCAACTGGACTACCGTTAAGTTAAATACCGGTAGCGAATCAGATGTATTGCAGCAAATGGTATCTGATTAACACGTGTTTAGTGTCAAGTGAAGCGCGCTTAATTCACCTGATTTTTAAGACTAGTCCTAGATTTTTATGGAAGCTGTAAAATTAATTACTGACGTTTTAATTTTGGATCGTTATCTTAAGTACGCCGCACGGCTGGAAAATCCGATGTCCCCTTTCCGCATTTTGGGAATTCTATATAACAGCATGATTTAGAGGGGATCTTTTGCATTTCTCCCTTTTAAATAGCGTGCATTTAAGATTTAAGTAAATCTTTATCTACCGTACTGTTTGATTTTCTAGGTAGATGTAGTATTTTGCATTCTGTTAAGTAGTAAGTAATAAGGAGAGTTTTGCTCTGCTTTCCTGCATCTTGTTTCCCAGTAGATATCGTTAGTTAACTTGTAATTCCGTTCTCGCTTAAAAAATCGCTACCGTTTCCGCGTGCCGTAATTTTGTTTTACATTTTTCGGTAGTGCCCTCCCAACTTCTGGAGTTTTTCGTTTCTCTATCCGACTGCTTGTGATTACGGGAAATCCTGGTGGCGCTCGAGATAAACCTTACCGTTCTAATGAGAGTAACGCGCGGTCCTGCCGACTGCCGAAGATTCTTAAAATATTTCGAATTAACCGCATAGAATTGTTAGTAATCTATTTTGTGAATTGATCTTTTTCATCCAGCAAAGCAAGTCATAAATAATTGAGGAGAGAAAAACAGAGTCTCCTACTGAAACATGCAACCAGAGGGTCAAGGTAGCTACAGCCCTCAGAAAGATGGCTCTTCGGACCCTTACCTACAGGACGCGTTACATGTCATTTTCTGCTAAGAGTGGGTTTCAATTTTAATGTTGGGGTTCGACTATGTATTAGAAAATTAGTTCGGATCCAGCTCACTTCAGGGTAAAGCGGGCATTTCGGACATACTGCTTTTTAGTTATACGTTCTAATATGTACACGACGTCGACGTGTACCCATTCTTCTTGATAAAAAAAAAGACAGCATGGAATACTGCAGTAGAAATGACTGTGGTCAAACTGTCAAGCAAATGTCAAAGCAAAATACCGCGATTAAAGATTGATTCAGCAACAAATGTTTAATGCAAATAACATCAGCTTACAACTACAGATTTCAAATTAACGTGCACGTCTACTTTGTCGCTTCAATTAAATACGCAATCAAATCTGCTCGATCTTGATCCTTCTTCAGCCCGGCGAACACCATTTTCGTTCCAGGAATGTACTTCTTCGGATCTTTGAGATACTCGTCCAAAGTGTCCTTACTCCATGTGATTCCCTTCTTCTTATTCGCATCTGTATACGGAAATCCTTCCGCTTGACCAGTTTTCCTACCCATGAGGCCGCTCAAGTTCGGTCCGACTTTATGCTTGCCACCCTTTTCGACCGTGTGACACTGAGAACAGGCTTTCGTGAATATTGCTTTTCCCTTTGTGGAGTCGCCCATAGTTAAGGCCCAATCTTCGTTATGACATTAGCAGACGCGCAACAGATTTTTTTTCGTCATGGCTGATACTATTTTAGAAGTTCAGAATTGCCTGATGTCGATATGTATAGGCAACACATTCTACACTAAAATGTTTATCGTAGGAGGATCTTCCACTGTGGAAGAAAGCTCTCTAAGAGGAGGGTAGTCTTTTGTAGTAATTGGATATTGTAATTTGTACGTGTACTTCATGCTGAGTAAAATTATTTCACATTGTGACAAGTGGCTTTTTATTTCCGTTTTCAAAAAGAGCGAGAATTAAGAATTTCAATTCCCGCATTCTCTATGCAACAGAAATTAGGAAATGTTGTTTCAGTAGAACATTGACATTATATGTGCAAGTTTTCCTCAAAAATTCAAGAACTACCACGTCGTTACCACATTAATTTGTGCTTTTTTTGTGCTAATTTGTACGCCAACCCTCAGGTTATGTCATGTGGAGCGCCGTCCCTAAGGGCACTTATTTTTCGACATATTCCCATTTATTGTTTTCAGGCCATTGACAGATTTTTCTCATCTCTACTTCCACCAGATTTCGCACGGAGTAGATTTCGACACTTCAGGAATGGATCATAAAACTGATCCATCAAACCCGAGCTTACAACTCCAGCGAAGACAAGCACACTACTCGCGAACGGCGATTTACTGCGACATATCTCAGAGTGACGCAAGACCATTCGTTACCGCGAAATTCCGAAAAACGATTTTTACCAACCTGCATCTAAAAATCTACAAGCAGAGCCACCTACCTTTCAAGTCGAAACAATGGAAGTTTCGCGGCACTTTTGAATTTGGATGGCAGTCGGCTGGATATGGATAGCACGAATGAACTCCTACGTTGTGTAATCCGTTCTTTATGTGTTGGGACGTGAGACATAATCGGGAAGGCAATTAAATAACTTTTACAGAACTTTTGTGCGTAAGAAATGACAAGAATAAAGAAATATATTACGCACACAACAAGGCCATGCCTGGGAAACCTTCTACGGGACTAAAACCCTGGCATAGGCCCAGGGATCTGGACCTATTGCAAATAACGGTTCCGGTTCTGACATTTTTAGCGGGAAAATATTTGTAACGGTTCCGGTCCGGGTTCCGGTTCTAAACATAATTGCGGTTCCGGTTTCGATTTTTTTTTCGGTTCAAACGGTCCGGACCTATTGGAATAACGGTTCTGGTTCACATTTATAGCGGTTCTAGTTCTAAACGTAATTGTGTTCAATCTTTTTAACGCATTTCCAAGGAAAGGGGGCGCTATTGTAGCCACTTTCTCTGTCCGAGGCCTTAACTATATACTCCTACAGTTTTCAAGATATTTAGTTCATTGTTTTTGCATTTGGTAGTTTATGGCTCTAGCACCTGAGCCAAGAAAAATCTAGACGATTAATGTGCGATGCGCAGGCTGCGCATTATCAACATTCTTATTTGTTAAGATATTTATTGGAAATTTTAACCACAGATGCTTGTAGTAAAGGCAAACATATCGTAAATGACCTTTCAGGTTAAGTCGCCTACTTTTAGTTTTGCATCACATATTTTGCAGGTAGATATTTTGTTATTAATATCATAAACAAAATGTTTATGTGCATTGTTTGATGATATTCGTCCCATTTTCTACTTCGCAAATCGCATTAACAGCATTCACTATACAAGTATTCACACAATTGAGAATTGCACAACAAAAAAATCTATTTTTAAAATGGTTGTGGCTAAATTATCGGCTACCTTTTTCCTTTCCCTTTCTGGCTACGGCTTAAAGTAATATTTTATCTTTTTTCAGAACGCGTTGGCCGGCGCGTCCTTCAACTTCCAATAACCTGTTCAGAACCGTAAAAAAACCGAAAAGAACCGAAAAAAATAATAACGGTTCCGGTTCTCAATAAGATTCAATTTCTGAAGAAATAACGGTTTCGGTTCGGTTTTCGGTCCTGAAAAAAATACCGGTTTCGGTCCGGTTTTCGGTTTTTTTCGGTCCGGTCCGAATCCCTGCATAGGCCACACAAATACATGAAATAAATGACCTACAGCAATAAAATGCAAAAGAAAATACACATAAATAAAACATCTGAAATTGTATGATAAAAATCAGATAATCAAATCAAATGCATTTCAACAAGTTCATAAAAACAAAATACACAAGACATCATAAATGCAGTGGAGAACATGATAAATCAATTCAGTACAAAAACACATCAAAATACCTATACGATCAATTGAAATAACACAACTCGTAAAATAAATAAATTGCATGTACATAGGAAACATGTAAATGGTGTGGCTCTACTCCAGTCTTCCGTTAACATAATTTAACACGAAAGGTACAGGTAAGAATGCCAATGGTCAATAGCAAGTATTCATGTGAAAATCGTTTATCTCTCAAGCAGAACATATTTTAAATAGTGGAAATGTTAATGAGAGGGCCCCTACTCGCATTTGCTAAGATGCTAAGAATCCGCACGAGACGAGTAGGAGACAGATACAGCGAAAGATCGAACTGTATTAGGTACCTACTCCACGGAGACAGGTTGAACCACTCACACACAAACATCGAAACATCAAATAAGAGAGCCCCCCCCCCTTCGTATAGCTAACGCACAAGAACTGCAGCGCGCCACGAATAAGAAAGTAACAGATACAGCGAACAATCAAACTGTATTAGGTAAGTACTTCCCTCACGGAATAGTTACGGATCAATCGGACAGAGCAACATCGCACTGATAATCAACTCCTCGTGAATACAGAAAATATAAATAATAAAACAAAATAATGGCATAATCATCGATACAGTATAACAAACACGATTCATCTAACGGTACTCAAAAACAAAAGCATAGAGTACGCCATATTTAGATATCGCAGTTTATGCAAAATCAGCAAAATGTAAATATCAAATTGTAGCAAGAAATTCAATTAATAGTTACTACCTGTAAATACACCATCAAAATACCACAACCAAAATAATCAAGAATAAAAAAATCCGGGAACGCGTCATACCTTCCGTCGACCTCGTCGCCATCTTCTTTTTTTTTCTAGTTTCGTTACGAAAATCCCTAGTATTCGGCATCTGGGCAAAACGGTCGATTGGTTATATAGTATACAGAGCATATCACATTTTTGTTTCAGAATAAAGGTGTGTTGCCTAGCCATCAGGGTGGATTATCACAGACGTATGTAACTGCAGTTCCTGCTGGCGGCTTCCGAATCTATACGACGGCAACTGAAGCCCGACAAAAATTGCCGTCGGCCGTCTGCCGCTGTCGTCTGCCGTCCGCCGCGTGCTTCAGAATCGTACCTTAAGAGAGGGGTATTAGACGTTTCGCTAATGTCAGATTTATTTTACTGATAATGACTATGATTGTGGATGTAGGTGTTCAAATCTAGAGCTCAAGAGTAAATAGTGCATTTGCTTACTTGTACTAAAAATAACTATTTTTATACTATCATCGTGGCACACACGGACGGACAGACAACAATAAAAATCTATAAAGGACCTGAGGATCCTTAATGATAGACCTTTATATTTTTAGGCAACCATGATCCAGATGTTAGTAAAGGTTCAAATTAACTATTAATCTGTGGTATAGGTAGTCTTTATCACCCTAGTGACAACCATTGCATGATATTGCCCGTATGAATAAAAGTAAGCAAATGCTTATACTTGCAAATTTTCAAAGTAAATACTCGTAAGTGCTCCTTCCTACTGGGCGACTTAGCAGCGCTGCTAAGCAGAAGGACAGGACGCAGTGCAGCGCTGCTAAACAAACCAGTATAAAGGGGCACTTATGAGTATTTTACTTTGAATTTTTCAAGTATAAGCATTTGCTATTTTTATTCATACGGGCCAATATCTTTGTTCACTATCCATTAAAGAAGAAACATTTTTTGAAGTAGGTACACGTTATCAAAAACAGAAGAAGAAAAATAGAATACATCGTTGCTAGCGTAACAAGGGGGGGGGGGGGGATTTTTATGTACCGAATAAACTAGGAATAGGTTTTTATTAAAATAATTTTTACAAAATAGTAATCACTACTTCATTATCACATAGGCCCAACAAATTTATATATAACTGCATTTTGATCGCAACTATTCTATTTACAATTATTACGTATCTACTCAATAACGGTAAGGTTAGAAAAAAGACAGAGAAAGATAGGGAAGAGAAAACAGGAAGTCTCGCACCTTTAAAGTAAGGAAACGGAAATGGAAGAGCGGTGCTTGAAGAGACTATCGCTTAGCAAGCGCAGTCGCAGTTGCATCGTTTCACTCGCTTCTGCTCCTTGGCAAGGAGCGCGTCGACTGAACGGACGGACCTGGGCTGGACGACTGCAACACACCGGGCGTTAATTTATTTAACAAGCTGCATAAGTTACTTACAATGTGGCCTCAATTCTTCGCTCGTTGCGGCGGCGGCGGTATCCTGCTGCGACTCATGATCCGGCTGCTCCTGGGGTTGCATCATCGGCACTGGGATGTGAACCGGTATTCCTCTGGCGTACGTCTGTCTACCGTTCATCTCGTGCGGGCTTTGTCGCGGTTGTTGCTGAATGAAACGTACTTCGGGCTGGTTCTCCTCGGCTTCTTCCGAGACCGACACGATCACGTCGTGGTTGGGTAATCGGTTGATCTGTCGGAGGACTTCGTCGGGGATGGGAATTTTCTGAGCCATCACTACTTGGGGCATTTCGGGGCGCATTTGTACTTCGTTGCCACGATGGTTTTCTCTTTGGGCTTCCTCTTGCGATGCGCGTTGGGCTTCCTCGTGCGCTCTTTGCATTTCCATGCGTATTCTTTGGTTAATTAACTGTTGGGCGATGTGCTGGATGAATGGGTTAGGAACTGGGAAGATTTGTGCTTGGGGCTCTGGTTGAGGTGGTTGCTCTTGTGACATCATTGCGTCGACCATTGGTGGGCGGAGTGTTTCCATTGGATGTGGCATTTGTGGACGCATTTGGGGTGGCATCTGCGGACGCATTTGGGGTGGCATCTGCGGGCGCATTTGCGGTGGCATTTGTTGGGGCATGTGAGTCTCAAAAGGAGTTGGGGGTCCGTATGGGATTACGACCGGTTGAACCATGATAGTTTCTTCTTGCTCATCTGGCTGTTGTTGTGGTGGGGTATGCCTAAATTTTAGTCATAAAAAGATAGCTGCACGCGGTCGAGATTTGGTCTTACCTTTGTAAACTGCCGCTCTCGCAAATGATGACCATGCGCTCACCGGTGACGTGCTCGAAACGTGGATCCGTAGTAACATTAAGTCCAAATGGTAATTGTATCGACTTCGGTTTGTGATCCACAACTTCTTCGGCGCGCTTCTTATCGATGATGCAGTTCATTTTCGAACGCTGATTCTTATCAATGATCGATGAAGCGATGTCGTCCAAATCTAAATGCAGGGGCAACTTGATGTGGATAGGCGTCACCTTTTCTTCCTCCTCTTCTGATTCGTTACTGTCTGGGGAGTTGTCAGCATTTTCGGATACTTCTGGTACATGATTGTCCTCAATCTCCTTCACCTTTTTGTTGCGTTCTTCGGCGCGTGGCATTTGTTTATGGGACGGTTCCTCCTACAACATTATTACTTTAGGAGCGGTTCAATTTTTATGGCCACTTATTTTTAATTGCAATAGAAAGTTAATATCAACAATGCGAAATTTAGCCACAATGGTATTGTGCGTGCATATAGTAAATATGCAACTTTCGATTTCTCTCGCTGCATTACTTTCGACAATGGATCCTTACCGTTTTTATCGACCGAATGTTAGAAAACACTCCTTGACCTAATGATACACTTAACAGGCAACGTGAGTGACTAGCGGATAGGAATCAAAAACATAAAACGTAAACAATGCAAAAAAGATCACGGAAAGGACTTAAATTGAGTCACCGGATGATATATGTTATCCTCTAGTAACAGCTGCGACCTGTTTTGTCGAAGAGTAAAGACCTCTCGCTTTCACCATTGCCCTAGTCCTGAAGATGTTTATTACAATTGCGCGACGATTTATTAGTCTAATTCTAGTGCTCTATGCCATTTCCAGTAAAATCGCACAAACGCCGCCGAAAGAGTTTACGTAACGCAAAAAAGCGACTTCCTCCTCGAGGTGAACAACCGCAGGATTTTGTAATGACAATCGATACATTTATTATAATTGGTTAGTTACATGATACAGTTTAGTACCTCATAATTTCCCAAACTTTCTAATTTTTTTTAATTACAACGTCAGGCAGCGATCCTCCATGACTAATTTAAGGTACGGACGACCTAGAAATCATTCAAAGCAAGAAGTGCATTCGAAATGTGAAAATTCTCAAGGAAATATTACCTGAACGAGTGCTTCTGGTTGCAACGGTTGGAGTCGGTCAGCGCTCTCTGTAAGTAGCTGAAGTTCCTGCTCGAGGTGCTTGCAGGAGGCATTCGCCGATACGTAGGCGGACGCCAACAGAAATCCGCCGAGGATGATGGAGACTAGCACTATCGTCACTGCAACGATTCTGGCTACTTGTACTGCCGATGATTTCGGCCTGTGGTATGCCTGAAAAATAAATATTGGTTAGTGACGAAATTACAATTTCCGCCTAAAATCTGGCAAGGTGGAAAACTGTCGAATTAAGCAACCGCATTAATGTTGACATAGTTGGTAAGGCTAATTGCAAAAGAACCTAGTTATTAGATCATTTGTTGGGCAATCATCACTTTTCCTAGGTATAGCTTTCCCATTTATAGGTACAACATACTATTGCGATCATTACCTTAAAATATAAACTAAAAATACCAGCCCCTACGGGCGTGTGTGACATCCTACGTTAACGATCAACATTTGTTTTGCGAAATGTAGAAATGCTAAGTAAATCAAATTTTAAAAAAATCTGCATCGACTGGGAATCGAACCCGGACCGCCCGCGTTGCAGCTACAACGATTCGACGAACGGCGACGACGACGGCTAACATTTTGAATTATTAATAGATATAGATATAGCCATTTTAACTTGAAAAATGTTATTTTCAATACATTCCCTAAGATTACAGTCACCATTGTCATTTTAGCGGCTAATTTTTACCAGATTATTTGAAACATACTTTTAATTTTTGACATGAAGTCGCGTCCAACTCTGGGAATGGTAACTTTCCTTTCATTACCTCAAAACTGAATCCATTAAATAGTACCTATGAGTATAATATTATGTAGGAGGTCCCCGCACTAAAAACCATTGTTAAAATGCATAATGAGGTGAGATAGTGCCTTATTTTGAAAAACTTTAAGTAACTGTAAAGTAATCCATGGTTCTCCGAGGAAAGCTCATCGCGAAAGGCAAAAAACTAAACTACTAAATTCTTACTCGGGGAAAATTCAAAAAACGGGATGGATATCGTACTAAAACTTTACATTACACCTCAAAACCAACACACAGAACAGTCTGGCTACTAGTTTTAAAAGAAAATGGACGTTGTTGGCAGAACAGGAAATCTTTTGAAAAATGTATGAACTATAAACACTGAAATTGATAGATTCTATCCCGATATTACCTATTCACCCAAAACACGAAGTTTAGCCACTCCCACAAAATTTTGCCCAATGTAAGAGGAGACCCGCTTCATACCTACAAAATTATTATAACCGGGAAATTTAGAAATTGCATGTCATAGATCTTTTACCTACAACATCAGCAAATGGTATAATTCCCTAGCTATGGACATCAAAAGCATGCCTTACAAAACATTTAGATTAGCTACCATGTCGAGGTTATTGCACGAACAATCTTCTTCTCAATGATATTTGACAATTTAATTTGAGGTTTTTTTTTTGCTAGATATATTATTTTTATTTTTATTTTTTCTTCTTTGTATTTTCTGTTAATGAACGGAATCACATGGGTTAGATGGAAGAGCAGAAATTGTATGTACATATGTTTCATTCCATTACTGAATCTCGCCCTTTGTACACACTTCTATGTAATGTAACCTATAGGTACTATTAAAGACATTTATTATTATTATTATTATTATATTGACTTGACTAAATTACAAAATGTCATGTTTGTAATATTGACCTCAAAGTAAGAATCTTTTATTTCTTGCTGTGATATTGCCCAAAATACAATAACAGGTTTGAGGTTAGGGATGTTAATTCAGGTACAACAACTACCATTGAAAGAAAGTCGTTGCATATGTTACGGGTTTCGAAAATTCGACCAATAAAAAATCTTGATTTAAATGTTCCGGGAATTTTCCGGGAGGGGCTTATCTATTTCGGTTGGATGAGTATATTTTAGTATAGTATTTTAGTAGTTTTAGTTTTGCAATTTGGAAACAATTGAATTTACAATTTTAAAAAATTGATTTCGTGGTTTAAGGTTCAAGGCACGCCACAACTTCAAGCTGTTCATTTGTGAATTTCTAGGTGCAGTTCAATTATTTAATTCGGAAAATCTGTAGGATTTTCAATTTGGTTAAAATTTAAGGGAAAGGATCGCAATTCCATACTATTTCTATTATCGCAAAATTGTGCCGAAACAAATTTGGTTCGAACCTTCGTGGTTTCAGATTGAGTGACCGAATGTAACGGTTAGTTGTGGCTGTAGGGTTTTTGTCCAGTATGATTTTTGCTCATAGTATAAATTTTGGTTTACTTTGTCTTCGTTAGCTTTCGGAATTAGCACGATTGGGATTCTTACTGTAGAAGGAAGAACCTAAGTTGTTTCGTAATGTGAAATTGGTCTGAATCGAAATTATCCATTTTTTTGGTTGGCTTGAAAGCAATTTGAGGATATTTTGGAAGCCGTCTGGTGGAAGTTTGACCATTTTCTACATCGATATGGTGGATTTTGGGGCCATGCGGCAATTTTTAGCGTATTTTCCTCAAAGTGAAAAATCGCTATTGGCTGCACTTTGACGTCCGTCCGTCCGTCTGCCCGTCACACGTACTCCTTCTAAAGCACTGAACCGATTTTTGCGATATACGACTCTTTCGAAAGGGCTTGGTCCAAGGATTCCGTGCATACCCATATTTTTTGGTTTTGCGCATGCGAATTGTCAAAAAATTTGGTTTAACGCATTTGCCATGCTAACTTTTTTATTTATGAAGATATTTAAATGAAACTTTATATGTAAACACAACGAATATAAGTAAAATTAACGACATTTTCAAAATGTAGGTTTGCGCATGCGCAATGCCAACTTTCTATATTTATGGAGGGATTTAACTGAAATTTTATACATAGGCATTTGGCATAAAGGCAAATCTAACACTAGTTGCAATGCCAACTTCCTTATCTACTGAAGCATTTAAATGAAATTTAATAAATAGGCACTTGGAATACAAGCAAATCTAATACCAGTTTTAAAATTTGGTTTTGCGCATGCGCAATGGCGAATTTCTTATTTATGAAAGCAGGTAAACGAAATATCATATGTAGGCACCTTGAATGAAACTAAAACTAATACCGGTTTCAAAATTACTATTAACGAATGCTGTATATTTTATTTATGAAGGTATTCAATGAAATTTCTAATGTAGACAATGCGTAATGCTATTTAGGAAAGCATTTATAAAAAGTTCCATATGTAGAAACTTCGAATAAAAATAAAACTAATGACCATTTCAAAATTTGTTTGTATTTGTATACGGTCCACTATTTTTCATTAAACTGTATAGACTTAGACGATAAGCGGCTCATTTGAAAGAGAATGGGGTAAGGATCCCGTGCCTATCTGTATTTTTTCCTGGTCCTAGCATTAATATTATTAGGAGGAAAATACGCTCTCGTGGTTACGTAGATTGCAACAAAGTCGTGGTTAGCAATTTTAATTTGTGCCATCAATTTCTTCCTGATGTGGTTCTTTTTCAAGTCTCTTTGGAAGGGGTTGTTCTGTTATAGCTTATATCGTACAGCATGAGGATTTAACCGTTGTTAACGGTGTTACCCGTAATTTAATAACGCATAACATAACATTATCTAAATTAATGTATCTAGATAACCATCAACAAAAAAAAACCACATAACAATGGAAAGATACCTACTCGTTCTGTCCCTGTTTATTTTCCAAGAAGCTGGATTTACAGAATGCTCCCAATGAAACCGAGACGCATTTATTGTTATATTTACTGATCTACCAACACATGATGTGATAGGAACATCCAGCATTTTAAATGGCCAACAGTTGTTTTTTTTTCATTATTTAGTTTAAAATTTGAATAAATTTGCAAGTTTTAACAGACTCCGACATCAGAATTATTATTTTTAAGTGTATTAGTGAAAAAATATCTGTTGTGTGTTGTGAGGATATTCGATATCTTATGAAATAAAACTATTTTCCCAACTACCTGAGATGTCCCCGATAACATGGTCGAGAGATTGTACGTCAATTTAAACACCCGGTATATGAGCATTCATAGTATTAAAATTATTTCGATTTTTATCTAAAGATAATTTCCTTTTTTATCCTTATCTAGAATCTAGATAGCATAAGAGCATTTTTATCTTTATCCTATCTAGATTAAGCAAATTCATCTTATCTTTATCTAGATTCTAGATGAATTTTGAAATTATCTTTGAACAACACTATTCCTGGCAAACCATTCTAACCGTTAAACTTGCAGCTACCAGCAGAAATATTGTAACGCCCAGCTTCTGTTATACCACAGTCGGATGGATGCCATATTGCAGCCTAAAGCTGACGAGAATACCACAGACCACAATAAACCAGTCCCGGGACACCAGTATAATTTTGTTTGTGATATTGTATATACAGGGTGTACAATATTATTGAAAAAATAAAGTTGGCACCTGAGCCAAGAAAAATTTTGACGATTAATGCGCGCATGCGCAAAATCCGCAATATAAACTTTCTTATTTATTAATATATTTGTTTGAAATTTTAACAATAGATCAATCTAGTAAAAGCAAACATATCGCATATCCTGCGCATCGGTAAAAATTAGATGTGCGAATGGCGTAATGTCAACTTTCAATTTTAACCATATACAGTGTGTCCCAGGTAGAACTCACCATAGGGAAACGACAATGTATTTTTTCGTGAAGGATCCACCAACCCTTTAAAATTAGCGTTCAACCAATCTCCTTCTAGCATTAGGAGGCGAGGTCCTCCTAAAAAAGCATTATGCGCGTCACTCTGTAATTGGGCGCAAGCCTGTTGAGGGCCCATCAACTGTTTTCCATCTATAGCGCGTTCGCACCTCCAGATGCAGTATGGGGTCTTATGGACTAATTGCCTCTCTTGCTAGTTTGTGTGGTTATGTACTGTATGTCCATAGGCACCATACTGCATCTGGAAGTGCGCACGTGCTATAGTATTGAAGTTACTCGCCTTAGGGTCAAACCTTTGTATTTACTTTAATTTTAGCCACGAAAACCTTATTCTTTTACCCTTTTTAAATTGTAGGCCATTGATTCATGGAGATTTTGTTTTGTTTATTGTTTCCATGGTAACTAAGGGGAGATCAATCAATACAAAGGGCTGACGGTAGAAACGTGTCATTTCAAAATTTTGGAAAATATTACGTATAATTATATA